TTTATATTTCAATGTTCTCAGCTCCATATGGTTTATGAATCAAACATCCTTTCAAAATCCAACTGACGACTAAATCCCGGTTCTCGAATAAAATGTACCGTGTCAAGAGGAGTCTGACGTCAATATTGTCATAAAATTCAATCCATTCTCAAATAAAAATTGCATGACTCAGAGATAGAAACCCTAATCGTTTAAAGAATTTATGATAACGACTTTTCTTCATAATCATCAACCAACTGTAAATTAATGACCCTTTTCCCTTCATAAATTAAAGCGCACCCAGTGTTATTTTCCTGCAACAACAACAAACTAAACAAACTGGTTAACGGTTAGTTAAAACGAAATGCAGAATGAAATGAAATGCGAAATGAACCTAATAATCTAAGGGTAAAATTTGGGATATGACAGTTATCTTGGTGTAAAACTAATAATCGGTTCAAGCTCATCCCGGTGTTAAGAGCTTGGTTTCTTTCGATATCATCCTGGTATTAAAATCTCTCAGGTTCTTGGTTAGCCCGATATAAAACCAAGTTTTAGTTCACGAGCATAACCCGATGTTAAAAGCTTTCTAAGGTTCATGATCATCCTATGCAAAATCTTAGTTTGAAGCTTGAAGGCTAACCTTGCAAAATCTTAGTTTAAAGCTTGATTAAAAAATATACGATGTCAGCGAATATCAATTACAGTGATTAAAGAAAATGTGTGGACAATATCTCAAGGCTTAATATCCTCGGTGATCTATTGAGTGGATATGTCTGTAATGGACTTATTCATCTTGTTGCTTATACCAACTCTCGTATACAAAAATATGTAGAGCAAGATACACCATATTGTGATGGGTGTTTCTCTTTAAGGGAAGTGTTTTTTTAATCTTTTGATAAAATAAGTATATAGTATTTTAAGGTTGAATTAATCGAATAACTCTGATTAATCCTTAAAAATAGTAAAATTAATTTTTCTTATCTCAATAAATTATATTTTATTAATAAAAAATACGAGTTTCCATGTGTGTTATAGAAAGGAGGTACAAATAAGCCAAATAGGGAAGTTTCACATAATCCCAAAGAAAAATATGTTGCAAATGGATCAGCCATTTGATTGACACTATGATCCAATCGATTGGATCATCTTAAAAAAAAATCATAAATGTGAACGTTGGAGCACTCCACAACGGCTAGTTAGATATGACATAAATGCAACGTATTTTTAACGGCTAACTCGAAAAATTTGAAGTTGTCAATCCATTGGCACATACTTTAAATCGATTGGACAAAAGCTATATATATATATATATATATATATATATATATATATATATATATATATATATATATATATATATATATATATATATATATATATATATATATATATATAGAGAGAGAGAGAGAGAGAGAGAGAGAGAGAGAGAGAGAGAGAGAGAGAGAGAGAGAGAGAGAGAGAGAGAGAGGCAATCTTCTTAATCTTCTCATCTCATCATACTCTCTCTTGTGTATTGCATTAGAAATACTTTAGCTCTCGCAATCATTCAATCATCACCTAAAAAAGAACCTGATTCTCCCAATCATTATCATCCTACTTCTCTGAAATTTTATTATTTCATGTTGTGTATAACTCATATTTATCTATCCATTAAATTAAATATGTTGCAAAAGTGAAAGAAAAAAAAAAGATTCATAGGCTCTAAAAAAATTATTAGCCTAAAAAAATTGAATGTACAAACTCTATAAAATAAGTTTTTAAACAGGCTAATAGGTTAAGTAGGCTTTAAAAAGTTCAAGTTTGCTCCAAATGAAACTTTTGATAGATAATAGGTCAGACTTAGACCTTAATTTTTTAATTAGACGGAGTCCATTTAAGTAAAATTCGTCTCAATCCAGTTGATAAGTCATAGTAACAATGTTTTAAAACCCGGTTCGTTCCAGCCAGTTGGATCGGTTAGACCATGAATCAGATAGTAGAGTGGCCCGATCAGATCATTAAACTATAGTTGCAATTTATCTGATAAAAATCAGTGTGATCCGGATGGTTCACTTGTCAAACCAGTGAACAAGTGGATTTCTTGATCCGACAGATTGATCTTTTTATATTTATTTTTTAGCTTAATTATAACTTTGACCATTCTATTTTTATCTTTCTTAAACTTTGGTGCCCCTATTTTAAAATACGATTTTATTATTATTTATGATAAGTAAATAATGTTAAAATTACAAAAATAGTTTAATAGTTATAAAATTTATATAAAAAATTTTATTTTATAATTTTATTTTAATTTGTATAAAATGAATTAAAAATCATGCGGTTTGACAATTGACTCACTGATCTGATAAGTAACATAGTGGTTTAATAGCTTGACCGGATCAATCACCTATCCAAGTTTTAAAACTATGAGTCATACAATTTTAATATACTTTCAGAGATATTTTTAAGCATCAAGGAATGCATGTTTTTTCATGTTTGTTAAATTTATGTCATACTAGAAAATTTGTTTTTAGTAACCGAATTAGTGACCGTAAAATTTTAGCCACTCTAGTGACCGAATTAGCCACTAAAATTAAATATCACGTTAGTAAAATTTTAAAAGTCACTAAATCAGTCACTAAATAAAATTAACGACTGATATTTTGTGACCATAATTTTAAGTTTCAAATAATCGTTTTTATATAAATTAATTCATAAAAAAAATTCATTGACCGAAATTTCGATCACTAATATATATTTTTTATTTGTATTTTTCATTATTAAGTTTCTTACCTCTCAACTTTATCCTTTTATTTTATTTTTTAAAAATTTTTTAATCAAAATTTTATATTTTTATTATTTTAACAAATAAAACATATATTTATATAAATAATTAACTCATACAAATTTATTAGTTTAGATAAAATATTATTTTAAGTTTTTAAAAATCGGTCACTAATTTCATTCGCTAAAATCGGTCAATAAATTCGTCTCTAAAGGTTAGCGACGAATACTTTTCCAACCAAAATTTGATAGTCGCGTTATTAGTCGCTAAACGTTATAGTGACCGTTTTTTAGGCTTTTTCAGTCTCTAATTTAGTCACTAAATGTGAATTTTTTTAATAGTGTGCATATGGTTTAATGTCTAGTTTATTGTTTGATTTGAAAACTATAATTGAATGATTCTTATAATTTAATTTCTTATTCTTTGTTTAATTTAAAAATGAGTAACGTTAATTTGTGTCTTAAGAGCACGAGTTAAAAATTAGATGTGAAAATAATATTTTAAAAATTATGCATTTATTTTTAATTAAAATAAAAATTTTAATTTTTTATTAATATTTCTAATACAAACTTTCTATAAACATATTTCTTAATTTGTATCCCTATAAAACAAGTTAGTATTATCCTTTAAAAGTTATAACATGTTTAAACACCACACTATAATAAGTCATCAAACTTACATTTTTATTGCTTCTCGTATTTGAAACAGTCATAATATAATTTTTTTCAATCAAAATGGATTATGATTATACTCTAATCTATTAGAGTTATTGATTTTCTCATAAATAATTTGAGTCATAAATAATAGTAATAATAATAATTATTACTATTATTGAACTATTACCAACAATAATAAATACAAATCCCTCTCAATCTCTTTGTTATCATCTTCATTCATTTTTTAGGTTGATTCAGAAATCCTAACTAGAGAAGCATTGGACATATGATTATGAGAAGATGAAGAGTCTCTTCAATTCCTACTATTAACTAAAAAAATGTATAGAAGAAAAGTATCTGAAGAATTTTATGGAAAACAAATCTAGAAGTGCTATTAGCACTAAAAATGTGACAAGTTCAGTGATCTAAAAGACCCACCTTTCTAATTTTTTATTTGTATAATTTTTTTTAATAATAATACTTAACTTAAATTCGTGCATCCAAGTGACATTTTTTAATATAAAAATGTAATTTATTTAACTTAACATTAAATATAAAACTAAGATAAAATAAGAGATAATGCTTAAAGTCTTATATTATGACCGTTTCAACATCAAAATGTAATAAAAATCATAGTTTTAACAAATATTTTATATTGTGATAATTAAGTCCCTTAATAATTTTTTTGAGTGAAACATGTAATAATTAAGTCCCTTACTTTTTAAAGTGAGTGGAACATGGTAATAGAACAATGGGGTAAGTTTGAGATTTTACTTTTTACTTAGACTATCTTTTCTTTTTAAACATAGTGACACTTAATTATTACATTTTTTTACTTAGACTATCTTTTCTTATGGTCCAATAAAATTAAACGGGTACACTTTTCAAAATCATTAGCCTGTGAACATTAAATCTAGCTATGATCCAACTCTTCCATACATATTTATTAAATATTTATTTGTATTTTGATTATGATTGACTTTACTTTAAAAAAAAATACTCATAAACATTTAACACAACAAATTACATGTGAATGGTGCTACATCATTATATCCACAATTCTCCAAAGAAAACATAGGTGTCACCCACCAATTATTAAACATCTAATCTAATCTAACAAAAAGTTAGTTCTCAGTCTTAATCAGTCGATATAAACTTTTTGCAAACTCAATCTTTTTTAACATTTGCTTGATAGAAAGAAACATTCACTCTCATCATCCAACACAGGGAAAAGAAAAGACTAACACCCATATCATTCATTTCAATGTTACATTACAGAGTAAACTTAAGAACTAATGGTGCCCTGTTTGCCAGATTTTTCCTATATATTGCTGCGACGTTGACATGATAAACCAAATTAATAACTAAGAATCTAATTAACCTATCTAATTCATACAATCATTTATGCTAAGAAATTAAAATTAAAACCCATAACATAATAATAAACTAAAAAAGAAAGTGCATAGAAAGACATAGACACGAGTATTTAAAAAAGGCGAATGCATCATTCTTGTTGAAAACGGTGGAAAGCTGAAAAGGTATAACACAATTTAAATCCAAACCAAATTTTGCGGTTTGTCTTTTATTTTTTCTTACCATCACTGTCTGCAAGCAACTTCTAAATTTCCATGCGTCATGAGAATAGATTTATAGATCTGAATTATCGTCTTCTCATCGTATTCTTTTGGTGGGGCTCTTTTAAATCCAGCGTCTCCGGTGGGTCCAGTTGACAGAGCCCCACCGAATCCCCCGGCCGAGCCACTCACGGTCATGACCCGTGAGTTGGCCAAACCCATCATCATATTGACATACGCGTCTCTCGCCCGTCTCAAGAGCTTCTTCGGAGATGGGATTCTGTTGATTCGGATCTTGGGTGATAGCTTGATCTTCCATCTCCAAAACCGACCTTTTCGGGTTTGGGTAGCTCCAAGTTCAACCTTGTTTGTTCTTCTTCTATGACCCGACCCGTTTATCCTTCTGTAACCTTTTCTTTCCCAGTACTCCTTTAAACCCTTGTAAGCACCAGCTGTGATTCCTTCCATTTTTTTCTATGATTCCTTCTTAGTTTCTATTTGGCTAGAAATAAGAAAATGGGTTTTTTTTCTATGATTCCTTCTTAGTTTCTGTTTGACTAGAAATAAGAAAATGGGTAAATGGAAGTGGGTGAGAGATTGAATGAAATATTGAAGTTAGGTATACATGCAGACAGAGGAATAACACAGGGTTATGGAAGCTATCTCTTCTGGCTATGCTATAATATAATATAAGGTTTAGCATAATATAATAATGTTAGATATGTTAATAATTAATGTTGTATATGAAAATAGTTTGGGGAAGAGTAAAGACGTGAGGTGGGGGTGGTACAATAAATGCGACAAGAACGTAGGTAGATGAATTAAATAACGAGGGGGTCATTTTCCTTCGATTTAAAGAAATGAGATAGAGATGACACACTAGGAATGGTTTGGTTATTCACATCAGAAGGAAGGTTTCTAATAATTTATTATTTTGTATTTCCATATATATATATATATATATATATATATATATATATATATATATATATATATATATATATATATATATATATATATATATATATATATATATATATATATATATATATATATATATATATATATATATATTATTTTGTATTTCCATATATATATTATTTTGTAAAAAAAAAAATTATATGCAATTATTTATTATTTTGTATTTCCATATATATATTATTTTGTAAAAAAAAAAAATTATATGCAATTATTTATTATTTTGTATTTCCATATATATATATATATATATATATATATATATATATATATATATATATATATATATATATATATATATATATATATATATATATATATATATATATATATATATATATATATATATATATATATATATATATATGTATATATATATATATATATATATATATATATATATATATATATATATATATATATATATTATCACATGAGATATATGACTCAAAGAATCATATTTAATACCTGAAAAATGAATACGATTATTTTATGTTACAGTATATGTTGGATAGTTGTATTCACGTAGTTTTTGAGTTCTTTTGAATTGAAATGCATAGTTTTAAATATTACATTTAATTATGAAAATGAAGAAAAAAAAACTATTGTATATAATTTATTTAATATTTAATTTTTTTTATAATAATATAAATTTAATTGATATACATAAATAATATAAAATAGTTTTATAATATTATTTAATAGAAATTTATCAATCTGTCATGACATATCATTAATTTAAAATTTATAATTTTATGTAACAAAATATATAAAAATAATTGATTAATAGTATAAAATAATTTTACGGTGTATATTCAATTTTCTCTAATAAAATGATATATTAATTTTGTTTTTTTTAGTTTCTTTAGTTAATATCATCAAGAGAGGTACTCCTAAATAAATAAATAAATAAACAATTAAGCACATGATGTTGTTGATATGCCAAGGATTTTTCCATAAACAATTTGTGGAATATACACCAACAATTAAGCACATGACCAATAAACAATTTGTGAATCAAGCAGCAATATAAGTTTTATGTAGTGTAGGTCTGGTTAATTATTAGTTTATTACATTTGATTAATGCTAATACCAATGAGCCCATGATTGATAATTTAACGGCGAAAATTTTACTTGATACTTCTATAGTTATCCTTCTCCTCTTATATTTTTTAAAATATTTTAATTTTATTCCTTTCACTTATCAAATAATTTTATTATTTAATATTTATTATTTTTTAATATGTATTTTTTCTTCACCAAATAACTTCTAATCAATTTTTTTATATGTATTTTTTCTTCACTAAATAACTTATAATCAAGTTTTACGTTATGTATTTTTTTCTTCACCAAATAACTTATAATCAAGTTTTTCAGGATATATTTTAATTCACCAAATAATTTGGAATCAAAATTTTCGGTATATTTTTTTAATAATAAACAATTTATGATTCGTATTATATAGGATTAATGAGCAATTTTAAATTTTTTACTTATTGTTGTCATTTGAAATTCTTTAAATTTAACTTTAATAAAATATTTCATAAACTTACATTATTTTAACAATTCTTCATTTTTTTATCCAAACAATAGATTTTTGTCAAATCATTTTAAATTTCCTCAAAATATTACTTTACTTTTTTAAAATGCTTGATTCAAATATACTCTAAGAGTGTGTTTGAATGAGGTAATTGAGAATTTTTAGGGAATTTAAAATTCTAAACAATTCAAATGATTCAATTGAAATTCATTCATTTTTAAATTCTTTAGTTTGAATGGAATATTAAAATGATTCATTGTAAAAACTTTGAGACCATTTTCATAATTTTTAAAACTTTTGGATCAAATTTAAAATAGAAATATAGGGACTAATTTGTAATTTTTGAAAATTTGAAGGGACTAACTTGTAAAATATTAAGAACTTATTTGTAATTTTATTAAAAATTTTGGGGGTGAATTTAATTTTTTTATAAAATATGAGGACCATTTTCTAAATTATAAATAATTAATAATAAACAATTTAACATTTGCATCGCATAGAGTGAAAAACAATTTCAAATTCTTTACTTTTTTGTGTCATTTGAAACTTCTTACATTTAACTTGAATAAAATACTTCATAAAGTTACATCATTTCAATAATTCTCCAAATTTTTTATTCATACAATAGATTTTGGTCAAATCATTTTAAGTTTTCTCAAAAAATTATTTTCTCTCATTAAATTGCTTCATCCAAACACAATGGAAGAGAATTTTAGAAGGATTTACATGTCAAGTGTTAAAGTAAATAGGAAGAGCTATCTTGCACTACAAGTTAACTTTTATCTTCATCATATAGTTCACTTGCATAACTTTATGATTTTTATCGATATAAAATTCAAGAACAAATCTCTAAAGTAATCACTATGAATCAAATATGTCACCAACTCACATCCCTCAAAGTCATACTGGAATTCAATCAGAAAATGAAAGTGAAAGCGTACCTGAGTTTGCCATTAAAATCGTCAAATGTTTGCGGGTATGTAATCTTCCAATTTGTAGAGTTCTTTAGGGTTTTTAGAATCTCTTCTGATGGAGATGAAGAGAGAATCCTGATAAATCATGTATTTCAATTGCTATACAAATGAGGATCATAACTCATATAAATAACCTTAAGGTTATTTCTTAGTTTTCAATATTCTAATTTGACCTCTCATCAAATTAGATATTGACTTATGGTATCTTCACAATAACCTTACATTTTATGACATTTATGCTTTTAGTCACATCCTTAATATTAATTAAGCCGCTATAGTTTTTCCTAATTAAATAATGACTCTAATACATGTAATATTAACACCTGTGACCCAAAAATTCTCACAATTTTTCACTGGTCAAATGTGTAACTTTACGCACGTGTTAAACTTTATGAGTTCAATGTTTATCATTATATTCTTTAAGCATATCCAAATTATCTAGTCTATTAGTCATGTCAATATACATAATGAAAGTGATTTTCATTATATAAATATTAACTGAACCCAAGACTGGCTCTATTAATTCAGAGGCTCTATTTTAATTTTAAAAATAGGCTTAAAAAATCTGAATTTATACAAAAAAAAAAACAATATAAAATAGTTTTTAAAAAATAAATTATAATTTTGCACATATTTTTGAAAAATAGGTATAAAATAGATTTTGAAAACAAATAGATTTTACACCTATTTTTTAAATAAGAGGTGTAAAATGTAAAATTTTCACCCAAATAACCATGTTTTCACACCATAATGTCCAATATACCCAACTTTCTATCATATATACCAATCTAACCATGTTTGAGGATTTTTTTTTAAAAATTTCAAGGGGGCGCCATTGGGCACATATTTTTGAAAAATAGGTATAAAATAGATTTTAAAAACAAATAGATTTTACACCTATTTTTTAAATAAGAGGTGTAAAATGTGAAAGTTTCACCCAAATAACCATGTTTTCACACCATAATGTCCAATATACCCAACTTTCCATCATATATACCAATCTAACTATGTTTGAGGATTTTTTTTTTTAAAATTACAAGGGGGCGCCATTGGGCACATATTTTTGAAAAATAGGTATAAAATAGATTTTGAAAACAAATAGATTTTACACCTATTTTTTAAATAAGAGGTGTAAAATGTGAAATTTTCACCCAAATAACCATGTTTTCACACCATAATGTCCAATATACCCAACTTTCCATCATATATACCAATCTAACCATGTTTGAGGATTTTTTTTTTTTAAATTATAAGGGGGCGCCATTGGTGTTGGCTCCTCCCTTATAAATTATAGGGGGGCGCCATCCTGGTTGGAGGCACCCTATAATTTATAAGGGGGGCGCCATCCCCTTTGGAGCCTCCCTTAAATCCGAATTTTTAAAATGATTTTAAATATATAATAAATTTAAAAATATTTAATAAATAATATTTAATAATTAAAGAATATTTAAAAAATAATAATTTTATAAATAATAATTTCTGAATAATTTTTATATTTTTAACAATTAATAAATAAATAATAATTAATATTTTCATTAATAAATTCCAAATAATAAATAAAAATTAAATTGGATTTAATAAATTTAATATTAAATAATAATTACAATTTTCATTTATTCACAAATGGGTACATATGAGAGATATTGTACACTAATTTCTACGACTAGGTCAGTTTAAATGTCCGCCCGTACCACATTCTCGATTACGTACATTTCTTGGTGGTCTTTGTGGTGGAGTTGGGTCCACTGTGTTGTCATCAAGAAGTTGCATCACTTCGGCCCATGTAGACGTGTCCATATCCGTAAAGTCATCAAAATCAAAAGGATTGCCCATGCCTTCATAATTATTTTGGGGTGGTTGGCTGGATGAGGCAATGTCAGGACGATAGCCTGCCTGGTCGTAGGGTGACATGGGTGTAAATGTTTGGTTGGGTAAGGGTTGATTGGGTGTTTGGAACTGGGTGTTTATTTGGTTTGTAGTATCCATGGAGTATGTGTGGTATTGTGGTGGATATTGTTGGTATTCGGACTATGAATAAGTTTGTGTGAATGGGGTGAATTGGTTAGGGGTATGTTCATATTGTTGTGGTTGTGTGAGTGGGGGTTGGGTTGACGGTTGGAAATAGGGTTGGGTTGGCGGTTGGAAATGGGGCTGGGTTGGTTGTTGGGGCCTTGATGATGAATCTTGTTGGCGTGGGTCAACAAGATACCTTATGCGAAATGAAACCAATTGATACAGACCTATACTAATTCATGTATTGGATAGATTGTTTTATCTCGAATGGAAACACAGTGTCAGACAAAACATAGTGGTTGCGATGCCTCCATTCATGACATTCATGTTTTGCATACTTGGTCCATGGAGTATATTCCCATTGGTCGGAGACTTTACCGGTGTGATATTTGTCGGGGATGCACTTTGGCGGACACAAAATATCTTGAAGCATTCCAAACTGAAGCTTGACACGATCACTGTTGTGCATTTCCACGGTGGTGAAGTTGATAATCGGTACCTTTGCACTCCACATTGCAGAGTTGTGTTGTTCAACTTGATGAAAGGCTTCTAGACCAAGATACGGCCGCCAAATGAACTGTAGGAGAAAAAAGTAATATTTAGTATTTTCTAATAATATTCAATGAGACTATAATAAAAATAGATAGGTTAGAGAGGGTACATCATCTTGACCCAAATGATCTATGAGATTTTGGTACTGCGTGATACTGAAATGGGGACAGTTGTCGTAATTCATCCCAAGTGAAGACCACCTACAATTCAAAAAGAAAACACTTGTTAATAATAAGATTAATTAAGTAAGTGACTATGAAAGAAAACACTTGGTCTAAGAAATTACCTTGTAGCGTATGGGAATTCGAAATTATTTTGTTGGATGGGTGCTAGATTGGTCATTTTTGACCAACCCCATGCTTGAAGAAGAACCCCACATCCGGTAAAATTTCCCGAATTTGCTACTGCATTGTTACACAACGACCGATATAGGTGCGCTAGTGTAGCGGACCCCCAACTATATGTTTTTATTTTATCTATGTCATCTAATAAAGCTAAATACATAGAGTGAACAACGCTAAAAATAAACCTATTAATAACATAATATAAATTCTTGTTTTTCTAATTTTTAAAATTTCTGGTGAATCTCGGGTTAACCTCATGTCTCTAAATAATTTTTTGAGCCACGATAATAGTATTTTTTTAACCCCTCATATCGTGTGGGGTTGGTTCAACCCCTAAAAGTTTTTCTATCAAACTACCGCTGGGATTAGTGAGACCATTTACCGCCTTACCATTAATGGATAAACCCAATAACATATGAGTGTCCTCGAGAGTAACTGTACATTCACCTATTGGAAGATGAAATGTATGCGTCTCGGGTCGCCATCTTTCTTGAAGTGCTAAAATGAACTTGGTATCAAGGAGATAGTTTGTTATTTTTATGACTTTTCCAAATCCTTCGCGCTCCAAAAATGGTTTAATAATCGGGTCATGTGGGAAATGTTTATGCCCAAGAGTTCGGAAATCATGAGTATTCTACAAATCAATATAACAATTCATTACAACATTGTATTTGTAAAAAACATTAGGATGCTACAAATAATTATTTAAACATTATTTAAACATTAGAATGCTACAAATCATGAGTATTCTACATATACTTACATAAGACGCGATGTTGCATGGTGTTCCTCTATGCAATTCGACAAACGTTAACAGAGACATTTCTTCTAGAGTGTGAATGTATGAAGAAAATATAGGTAGAATTTGAATTGTTTGTGATGAGTTTTTGAGAATGAGGAGGATGAGTATTTATAGTAAAAATTTTGAAATTTGAAATTTGAAATTTGAAATTATGGTAGAGAAGTAAATGAGATGGTTGAAATTTTGAAATTTGAATTGATGAGTGAAAAATTAAATTTGTGTAGTTGAAATATTAATTGTTGTGTATAGAAGTAAATGAGGTGATTGATGTGTGTAGAAAATGTTCCACACTTGTCATTCTGCATGCATGCAAAAATCAATTTTCGTACACTTGTAAAGGGGAGCCAACCCCTATGGCGCCCCCTTTAAAATTAAGGAAGGGGGGTCAACCCCTATGGCGCCCCCTTTAATTTTAAATAAGGGGAGCCAACCCCTATGGCGCCCCCTTATAAAATTAATTAATATTTTATTCGTGCACTCTTGTTATATATGTATACATTCAACAAAAAATAAAATTCATCTCATTTTACGCAAACACTTACACTTCTATTCAAATATGTCTAGGAAAAATAATTATGTTGTTCATGCTCATTTTAATGGGGAAACTTACATCTCTAAGGATTCGGGTTTTGGGCATTTCAACCATGTATCAAAGGTTTTGCGTTCTGCAAACTGGTTATTCAAGTCGATGGAACATGGTTGTATGGAAAATACAAAGGAACATTGTTGATGGCGGTTGCACAAGAAGGAAATAATAATATATTTCCGATTGCCTTTGCCTTGGTCGAGGGTGAGACAGGTGAAGCTTGGAGTTTCTTCCTCAGAAATCTCAGAACACATGTCGCTCCTTAAGCCAACTTATGTCTGATTTCCGACATATATGCTTCCATTGTGAGCGCCTACAACAACCCTGCAAATGGTTGGCACAATCCTCCTTCTGTCCATGTCTTTTGCATAAGACACATTGCCCAGAATTTTATGCGGGACATTAAGGACAAAAATCTCCGTAAAAAAGTTGTGAATGCTAGGTATTCCTTAAACCAACCATCGTTCATGTATTACCGCAAAGAAATAAGATTGTCAAGCGCAAAAGCATTAAGGTGGGTGGATAACATTCCAGTCGAGAAATGGACAAGGGCTTTTGATGGAGGATGCAGATGGGGTCACATGACCACAAATCTTGTAGAATCCCTAAACGACGTATTTAAGGGAACTAGGAACCTCCCCATCACTGCGTTGGTAAGAGCAACCTATTACAGATTGGGGTCACTTTTTGCGTCAAGAGGCAAAAAATAGAGCGCTGTTTTGGAATCAGGGCAAATATTCAGCGAATCAAGTATGAAATATATGAAGGATGAAACTTCTAAGGCAGCCTCACATCGAGTTAGACCATTTGATCGTCACAATTACAACTTCATTGTTGATGAGACAATGAATCACAACGAGGGTCGGCCAATGGGACACTACAGGGTGGAGCTTCATAAAAATTGGTGCGACTGCGGAAAGTTTCAAACCTTCTGCATGCCTTGTTCACATGTTATTGCCGCATGTTCTAGTGCTCGTCACGATCCATTCTTGCAGCTATCAGATGTTTACAAGGTCGTGAACTTATTCGGTATCTACAATAACAGTTTTCCAGTGGTAGCTAGTAAGGAATATTGGCCAACCTATCATGGCGACACAATTTACCACAACGAAAATATGAGAAGAAACAAAAAGGGCCGCCCCAAAAGCACGCGAATTACAACTGAAATGGATACAACTGAGAAAATGGAAACATTGTGCGAAATATGTCGTATTCCCAGGCATACGAGGAATAATTGTCCAAATGTTGAAACAAGTTCTAGATAGATTTACTTTTGTCATTTAAATTAAAAAATGTGTAACCATGGAATTTAATATTTATAACAACTTTTGGTTACCACATAAACAAATTGAAAGACTTCTAGAGCAACAACACATATCATTAAAAACATAACAATTATTACAACATAAACTAAGATATAACAACAATCAAGGTAATATCGTCAGTTCCGAACATCATAGACCTAACTTCGTTGTCATCTCTAATTCGCACCCACTCCCGCCGTATATTTTCGTCTTCAACTGAGAAGTACAAGACAAGTCTTTCAATACTCCTAATGCTTTCACCATCTGGAATGTCTCCTTCTAACCACCAATTCAAATTTCTTCGTAGTTGCTCTAAACTCTGGATGTTCCAAAACAACATCCTTATCAGAGGCTTCGTTCTTGAAAAAATTACATGTCCATATCTTCTGAGATACATGACTCACTCTCCTAAATTTGGATGAAACAATGTTAATAACAAGTCTAACTATTTATAAAAAAAAATTGGAATAAAATAATATTAAATTTTAATTATATTATTTATAGTAGAATTGAAAAATTAAATGACATAATGGGAGCTCCAAAGGGGATGGCGCCCCCCTTTAACTCGTTTAAGGGAGGCTCCAAAGGGGATGGTGCCCCCCTTATAAATTATAGGGTGCCTCCAACCAGAATGGTGCCCCCTATAATTTATAAGGGTGGCTCCAACACCAATGATGCCCCTTGTAAATTTAAAAAAAAAAACGTGAAAGTTGGTTAGTTTGGAATATATGTTGGAATGTTGGATATAGTGGACATTAAGGTGTGAAAACATGGTTATTTGGGTGAAATTTTCGTAAATGTATTGTTTAAATAATAAATAAAAAAAAATAGGCTCCAAAATTTGGGGCCCTGCTCTTCAGCACTTGTTGCACCGACAAATGACTGACTCTAACTAAACTCATCAATAATACATAGCATGAAAATCACTCGAACCTCCTTTTTGAAACGAAGAATTTTAAAAAAGAAAAGACATATTAAACTTATCACACCAATTTTTTTCTAAAATCAAGTATATATTTATAATTACAATTTTACTATAACTTTAATTTATACTTGATTTTCTTAAAATAGGTGTCATGTGTTAAAATATTTTATTTTTTAAAATTTCTCACCTTTTATTTATTTAAAAAGGTATAAATAAAAATTCTATTGTCATTTTTACATTAATGAGTCATACTTTTATTTAGTTAGATCATTCAATAACTTTATTGTACAAAGTGTAAATAGTTGAATATCAAATTTTATTAATTGTAATATATCTAAATCATAGTATGCATACATAACACCAAACATAGAACACAAAATTCATAAATTAATAACTCCCACTAAATTTAAGATTAATCTAACCGTAAAACACACATGTGAGCAGTGTTCAAGAAAGATCT